TACACAATATTATATCTAAAAAATATAAATTTTTATTATAAATTACGTGTTAAAACCATGAACCCAAAATCATTTAAGTATACCCGCATACATGGACTAACCACTATCTATACTAAACCATAGGCATGTGCAGCCACAAAAAAATTGTTTTGTTTCGGACTTTTTGTTTATTTCGTATTTCCGAAATCGGGGTCTGTATGTGTTTCGTTTTGGGTTTCGGATTCGGATCGGATTTGTAATTCAGATCGGATTCGTAGTTTGGACGAATTTCCAAAATGTGGGGTTTTGCGCGAACGGACGAATGTTCGTACGTAGCAGAATTGGCACAGTTGATATCTCTGGTTGCTGTGCTCTGGTCTTCACTATTAAAGGGACATTAAAATCCTTTTTCTTCATTTTTTTTTATACGTTTAAACGTTGACGGTGCATGCACAGGAACATGAGGTAATGTTTTGTTTTTATCTTCACATGCTATGAAATCCTCTTTTTGTAGTCATTATCGTTTTTAGAAATTGCGTTTCCATTAGGACGAAATTCGTACTGAATCTGACATTCCGGATTCGAAATTTCGGATCCGAATGCTTTCGGATGAATTCGGACATGGTACATTTCGGAAATTCGGATGCTCCAAATCCACGAATTTCGAATTCGGAACGAAACGAATCGCACACGTCTAACGAGGACTATAAAAGCAAGAGGATGTGATGATGAGGGAGTATTCAGAGAAGCTGCGCACACACACGCATGCGCACGCACCAGTTTCCTTTTTGCGAACAGGGACGTTTTATTGCATTTTAAAAAAAGTAGAACTCCAGGGAAAATGCAGTCTAAAAAAATCTATTTCAGTAGGGCTACCTCCGGCACTGCAAGGGTCAAGTGCTCAAACCTGTCTAGGTGCAAAAATCCCGATCCTTGGAGGCGGCTTGCTCATAGACCGTTGTTTCCATCGTCTCTCCCCCTCCGCTGTAGCAGTCATCACGCTCTATACACATTACAGGTCTTCTTTCATTGGTTGAACTTGATGTTCTTTTTTTTTCAGGCTGACTAGCTATGTAACATTTTCAAAGACAGAAAGAAGATGTACAAATGGATACGTGAGGTGTACAAGTGTAAACGTGCGTGAAAGTGTGCGCTACTGCAAATCTGGTAACGCCGACGCTGTGAGCAACCGGTGACACTGACAGTGGTGGAGCCTGATGAGGATGCCGAGGGTGTAGTTCAACAGTAGGCCCTCTCGTCTTCTGATTTACAACAGGCAGCGGGCCCATTCCACAGCCAATAGCAGGCTGTCCATTGCCTATGAAATCTCCCTACTGCCAGTTGCCAATCACAAGGGGGAGGACCTGATGGGGAACTCTGACAAGAAGTCAGTTAAAGCAAATCTCCGGTCAAAAAAAATAACAAGATAAAAAAGAATAGCTCATTCAAAGTTGAACATCAGTGCACCTTTGGGATCACTATTGTCGTTTCAAGCTTGATGAAGGTGACCCTGTGTGGCCCTGAAACGTTGGTGTTTGTTATGACATGAAGCGTCAATAAACACACGTGTTCTTTACTTCAATATGGTGTGCTGGTGACATATTTTACATGTTGCACCTACCACTCACCCTCACTTACCTAAATTGTGGGCTGGTTCTCCCTGCAGTGTCGACTGTACGTGGCTCCGCCTGTACGGCCGGGTCATCCACTCGCAGATATTTGTGAACGAGAAGAACTACAGGTCCCATATTGGAAAGTAAAATGCTTCTTCCCGTACTGATTCAATATGGGACACAGTTTGTCCTGTATTTTCGTGCGCAACTTAATTTGCCGCGCGCAACTTCATTTGCCGCTTAATGACACCTTCTGGGCCCTTGCACGTAGTAAACAAGGGAGATCCCCAAGTGACGTCTCTGACATAGCCGGGGGGATAGATACCTGGGGCTCCATATCTTAAAGGAGGGCTTCCAATAAGTCTTTGTTCACAGACCCCCACAATCACAGGGGTGTGTGGATGAGGCCCTTGTCCTCCTCAACACGGGGACATGTTGCCTTGTCATAAAGCAACCTCCTCGCAAAGTACCCTCCCCATGTTAGGGCCTGGTACGGTTCAGGAGGGAGGGTGGGGCCACACGCTTGCTGCCCCTCCCCTTACTGGGGGCCCCCTTTTTTTTTTCTCATCCATTGTTTATTTCCTCCAATCCCTCAGCTCTGTACAGACCTGGGGCACCAGCTGGCGCTTCTCTCTGATTGTGTTCAGAGTCAGACTGGCCTGGCCGGATTGACATTGGGCATACTGAGGCGATCTGGGCCGGCCGGGCCTATTTTCAGTGATGAGCCTGGAGCTGGCACTCCAGTAGCCCCTATGTTAATCTGGCCCTGGGCTGGGGTAAACAATGCAGGAGCCTGCGCACTGCAGCTGCAATACACTGGTCATGGTCGCAAGGCTCTGCAGGAGTCAATGCAAAAATATAATAAATGCTATTTTTTAAAATTTATGCATTTGCATTTATTGCAGTTTTGCAAAAGTTGGCCTATTCCTTTAAATAATCCAGCTGCCTACACTCATGCTTATGATAGTTTTCTCCTGACATCACTGAACTTTCACAACCTCTCACTGAACATTAATATACATCAGGCAGAAACATTGAAGGCCCTTAGGGCTGAGGCTCTGCTAGCACCTAGCAACCCTCACTTGCCAGGTCTCCCTCACATGCTACAAGCACTTCCGCCCATAGTTGTCGTCCCTTCCTGCTTCCTGCAGAAACTAAGCGCGTTGGTTCGGGTTCTCTCCCTTGCTTCCGCCCTTACTGAAGCCGAGCAGGTAGGACCCGTGACGTCACTTCCGCCCACTCACCTGGCAGTTCCCTGTCTGTCTTTATTCATCTCATTCGGCAGCAGAGTGAGTGCTCGGTACGGTCCGGTGCTGTGTCCCTCCATACAGTCAGGGTGGCAATGTGTCCCGGTGTACGGCGATGGGGGGTGGGTGATGGTGCATCATGCTGAGTGTGGCAGGGTGTGTGGGTGTGGGTGCTGTCATTGTGCATTGTCCTGGGTGTGCTGAGCTGTGTGCATGTAACAGGTGAGGGGCTGCCTGCTCCTATGTATTAATGTATTGATAATATAGGTGTGGGGGGTATACCTGTGTGATATGATGCTGATCTAGCTCCACCCATTTATGCGTTGGGTTACTAAGGCAATGTATGTGCGCTGCAACGCACCATGAAAAAAAACAATTGTGATGTATCTTTTTTTTTTTGGGGGGGGGGGGGTTTTCCTGCATTAGAAGCTTTAATGCAACGCATGACCACGCGTGCAATAATGCACTGCGCAAATGTGACTTGGCCCATAGACCTTACTGGGAAGAAAAAGCTTTATATTGTTTGCTGGTGACTCGTAGAAGTGAATGTGGCCGCGTTGGATTACGCCAGGTAAGCGACAAATTGGCGCAATTGTTTCCGGGGGGACACGTCGTGTAATAATCTGTGACGCACTTTGCCTGGTTTCTGGTGAAAACTCCACGGAAGGCGATGATGACGGGTTCAGAAAATCGGGTTATTAAAAAGGTTTATTTTAGTTTTTCTGGCTTCACTTAAAAAAAGTTTTTTTTATGAATGAAAAGAAACAATTCGAAAGCTGAGAGTTCCATGTGACCGCGAATTAAAACAAATCTCCGTCACCCCCCAAAATCAATGACACGTCTTAATATTATTATGTATTATTATTGCTTATTATTATTTATTTTATTATTCATTTTATTGTTATTTAATATTGCTGTTATTATTATTATTATTTTTATTATTCAGGACTTATATATTATTGTTATTATTACTAATAATAATAGTATTATTTTTTATTACTACTATTATATAATAACAATAATAATCCTTCTAATGATGAAGACAGAATTCTTAAAATATATATGGAACATTCTGACAAGAAGTTATACTGAGCTTAGGGTAACGGGAGGGCGCTAGTTTGTGTCTTCCCGTTACCCTAAGGAGAACTATGGGGAAAAGCCCTGACCTCATAGTTCTCCTTTAATACTTCTAATATTCTTCATAGACAATGCACTAAAAGCGATTAAAAAACCCCCCAAACATTATTATTAATCTAACTATGTTATTGTTATCAATTAGGTTACTTATGACTGTCGGATGGTGTAATATATTTTTAGAATTCTGTCGTCACCATTAGAATCAATAATCTGAAAGGAGAAGTATGTGGTCAGGGCTTTTCCCCATAATTCTCCTTAGGCCCCGTTCACATGTAGCGACTTATCGTCGCGCGATATCACGAGAAGTCGCCGGCTAATGATAGTCAATGGAGCTGTCTTAGCTCCATGTCGCTCGTCGCGGTCGCAAGTCGCTTCTACCGGACCCTTTTTTCGGCGGATCTTGCTTTTTTTCTATGGAGCCCGACGGAGAAGGTCGCGCGAACGTCGCTGGAACGTCGTCCCTAAAGTCTCGCTATCCCGGCCGCTGCAAAGGTATGTCGCTACGTGTGAATGGGGCCTTAGGGTAACGGGAGGACACAAACTAGCGTCCTCCCGTCACCCTAGGCTCAGCATATAGGGAGTTACAGCTCACATGGGTCCCGACAATTATGTCTGGATTTTTTTTTTGTCTTACTATTTTTTTTTTTAACTTTACTGTCGGGGGCGATAGTGAAATATCTAAACAGACCCCTGATATTTCCCTTTTAAAATATAAAAAGAGATTGGGGGCATGGGAGTCCTCAATCTCTTTTTCTGCAGCCCCAGTTATGAATGAACAGGAAGCCTCTATACTCCGGTCCATTCATAAACTGAGGAGGTAGTATCAGTTACTATGTCCACAATCATGAATGGACATGTAGTGATGTAGAGAACTTCCTGTTCATTCATAACTGGGGTCACAGTCAACATACTGACAGCTGACGGCTCCGCTCTCTGCGTTATCCTGCTCGCAGTCTCTCATTCTCTCGCGGTCACCCTCGTTCTCTCGCGGTCGCCCTCGTTCTCTCGCGGTCGCCCTCGTTCTCTCGGGGCCGCCCTCGTTCTCTCGGGGCCGCCCTCGTTCTCTCGGGGCCGCCCTCGTTCTCTCGTCTCTATACAATGTTTCAGTTTTCTACAACAGAAGGAGCGGTTTCTCCTCCGGACGATCGGATACAATGTTGTGACATGTTTTGTAGCGCCGTTCTTTCCCGGGGGCCGATCACACGTGAAGTGGACTCTTCTGTGAAGTGAATGTCTTGTGTCTGGCTGATCGGCGGAGATGTTTTTCTCCTCCAGCTGTCACAACCGGTGTAAAGTTAATAGGTGTTTATTCTCTCACATCCTCGGAGGAAGCCCCGCCGTGTCTCCGGAGCCA